ACCTTCAGAGCTTCACAGTTAACTGTGTACGGATCGCCATCTTGAAGCCATTTCTGACACATCCCATCCAGAACCGAATTCACGATCTTCCCATTGAACGTCATCTGATGTTCCATATCTTATGAGAGGCCCCACCAACTCATTAATTATGCATCTTGCCCTGTCTGCCTCTCTAATCCTCCTTACCTAACCGATCACCACAGCCTGTCAATTCTCAGGTCTCTGCGCCTCCCCATCCATCTTGAAGCCATTTCTGACACATCCCATCCAGAACCGAATTCACGATCTTCCCATTGAACGTCATCTGATGTTCCATATCTTATGAGAGGCCCCACCAACTCATTAATTATGCATCTTGCCCTGTCTGCCTCTCTAATCCTCCTTACCTAACCGATCACCACAGCCTGTCAATTCTCAGGTCTCTGCGCCTCCCCATCTCCACCACCACCACCCTAGTCAAAGTCACTATTAATTCTCCCTGAACCTCTGCAACCGCCTCCTCACTGGGCTCACCTCATCTCCTCTTACCCTTTTCATATTGGAGCCAGAGTGTTGTTACTTTCACCTAAATCTGATCATGTTGTCATTCCGCTCAAAACCCTTCAATGATTTCCCATTACTCATAATGTAAAAATCAAAATCCCCGATGTTGCATGGGTTGGCCCCACACCAAGCTCAGCTTTGATTTCTGGATATAGTTACACCATATACCCTGTTAGTACTTTATGCTCTGCTCCCTCCTCAGGGCTTTTGCACATAATGGTTTCTCTAGACTTTCTAGAATGTTCTCCCCTTGCGTTGCTTCTTTACCTAGTTAACTCCTATTGATTCCTTAACTCTTAGCTCAATTCTCATTTCCTCAAGGAAGATTCCTCTGAACCCCACCCCCCACCCCCAGGCTGGGTTGAGGTTCCAATCACACACTCTGATGGCAGCTTATGTCTTTATTTCACAGATATGTCACATCTGTCATCATTGGTGAATGTCTCTCCCCCATTAAACTGTAAAATCCATGAGAAGCTCTGCTTTGCTCACCACTGGAACCCTAAGAACCTCTCACAGCACTTTCCTTTGGAGACCCCAATAAAATGTTTGTTGAAGCAACTAAATGTTTCAGTTATCCTTTCTTTTTAAGTTTAAAAAAATTGATTTCAAACGGAGGTAGAGAGAGAGAGGGAAAGAGAGGGAGAGAGAGAGAGATTGATGAGAGAGAAACATGGATCGGCTGCCTCCTGCATGCTTCTTACTGGGGATGGAGCCTGCAACCCGGCATCTGCCCTGACCGGGAATTGAACTGAGACCTCCTGGTGCATGGGATGATGCTCAACTAACTGAGCTACACCTGCCGGGCTCAGGCATCCCTGATAGGACACAGGGTAAGTGAAAGTTAAGACTCTGTTTTTTGTTTGTTTGTTTGTTTTTGGTGGGAGTAAGACAATTTGGTGGTCACACTGCTATTTCATGCTGCTCAGAAGTCCAATTGACCTATATGTTTTGATTGATTAAGAAATGGATAATGAATGGTTACTTAATTGTAGTGAGAGCGTAGGCACTGGAGTCAGCTGGATACTGTTTGAATTCCAGCTCCTCCACTGATGGAGCTGGATGCTGAGGGCGGACCTGTCATACCACCTCCGAGCCTCAGTCCCATCATCGGTAAAGTGAGGGTCATAATCCTTGCGGGGCTTATTATAGGGTTAGTGCAAGGATTACGTGGGATAAGGAAGGTAAGTGCCTCGTAGGGTATCTGGCAAATAGTAGGTGCTCAGGGTAAAAGGATTTCTCTCCGCTTCCTTTCTTCTCTCCCTTCCTCCCTCTTTCCTTCCTGAACCATCTTGCTTTACAGTTTACATCTTTCTAAACCCAGGCTCCTTAAGGGAAAATGGTGTAAGGTTTCCTAACTGGTGTAATTTGTCATCCACAAACTCTGTGGCCCAGATGCCCCCAACCCCTTCCTGGCTTTGAGCTCCTGCCTGTTCAGAGAACCAGAGGTGAGGAACTCTTCGCATCTAGGTTCTGGCAGCCTGGGAGCTGGGGGAAGCTGAGGAGAGAGCCTGAGCAAACAGGATTCAGAGTGGTCATGATTGATGTGAATTATGCAAAGAGGGCTGAGGGTTTTGTGAATGCACATCAGTGTTGTTTGGTGGGATAGCGTGAGACAGGCAAATGCCCGCCCACTAGTCGCGAGCACAGGGCAGCAGGCACTGCCGCTATTGCTTCTTGACGGAAAGGCACTTCCAAGCCTGGGCAGGTTTTCAACTACAGGCGACCCTTGAACAACAAGTGCCCGGGTCCACTTAACAGGGTGGGGCAAAGTAGGTTTACCATTATTCCTATGGAAAATAATACAATAGTCAATAATAATACAGGAATAAGCTTAGTTTTTCACATACTCATAACCGTAAGCCTACTTTTACCCTATATATGGGGAATTTTTTTCAATAAATACACACAGTCCTGTAGGACATGTATTTTCTCTTCCTGATGATTTTCTTAATAACATTTTTCTTTTTTCTAGCTTACTTTATTGTAAGAATACGGTGTACAATAAATAAAGCATGTAACTATGTGGCAATCGACTGTTATGTTAATGGTAAGGCTTCTGGTCAACAGAAGGCTATTAGTAGGTAAGTTTTGGGGGAGTCAAAAGTTATATGTGGACTATCAGCTGTGCGAGGGTTGGCACTCCTAACCCCTGTTGTTTAAGGGCTAGCTTACTCTGGTCTCAACTTCCTCAGAGGCGATCCAGAGCAAGGCTTGGAGGTCACAGCAAGCTAGAAGAAGCCTCCATGCAGCCAGCTGGGCTGCCCGTGGTCAGCTGTCTTCAGGCCTCCACTCAGGGCCTCAGTCCCACCAGACCGGGGCCACTCCAGGGCAAGGAGCAGCCTTCCAGACTCAGCCCCTTGGTGCTTCTGGCACAAAGACTTCATGACCTCTCTCTGACCTGGGCTGGTGTGGGCTCCTTCTCTGAGTTCCCACCATGACACTTATCCCCTGGAGCGCACAAGGCTACCACAGTGCCATTATAGTATTCATATTCTGTGCATATGGTGCCACTTGGACTTGCGCAGAGCAGACCTGGAGTGGCAGAACTCTGTGTATTGTCTGTCTCCCTCTTGGCTGGCCATTCCAAAGGGCGGGGACTGTGTATAGGGCTGGCGCATAGTAGGGGATGAGCCATTAGTTTCCTGAATGGTTAAACAGGTGGGCACCAGGCGCCTGGCAACAGTTTCCCTGCCACCAGCTGGTCATGTGTGAGTGCTCCTCCTCCCTCCGCTCCTGCTGGAGTCTTTCTTGTACTTCCTTTCCTACCATTTTGTGTTTGCCTTTTCTCCCACTGAGTATCTCACACATCCCCCATGTTGTTGCCATCTTCATCAATGTCACCGTTAGTGGAAGCAGACTGCTCCACAGAGGGGCTAGCCAAGCCATTCTCATAAACCATTTCTAGTGCTTGACTGGGAACTTTGTCTGCTCCAGACCTTGTACCCATAAAGGATAAGTGATATCAAGCCTTGTTCAAAGAATTTCATGGGATTCAGGGCGGCCGCAGTGAGGTGCAGAGTAGGGAGCAGTAAGACATGAGCCCCCCCAAAAAAGGAGGCAGGGGCTGAAGTGTGTGATGCTCCCTGTGTCCTCTCAGGTGAACTGAGGAGTGCAGACTTGATCCTAGAGGTCACGAAGGGATTCTAAGTCAGGGAATCAGACTTGAATTCTTAAAGATCACTCTGGTAACGGTGTGGATGAGGGATCAGATGGGGGAGACTGTAGAAGAGGGGAGAATTGGAGTAGACCAGGTGAGAAACTAATGGTGGGAGAATGGCCAGGTGAGGACTGATTTGTGAGATACTCAGAAGGAAGCACCAATAGGAATCAGTGATGGGTTCTATTTTGTTTTTTGTAAAAAATATTTTTATTGATTTCAGAGAGGAAGGGAGAGGGAGAGAGAGATAGAAACATCACTGATGAGAGAGAATCCTTGATCAGTTGCCTCCTGCATGCCCCCTACTAGGGATTGAGCCCGAAATGCAGGCATGTGCTCTGATCAGGAATCAAACCATCACCTCTTGATTCATAGGTCGATGCTCGACCACTGAGCCACACCAGCCAGGCTCAATTTTGGATATGATGAATTCAAGGTCCATGTGGGCCATCCACAGAGAGGTGTCCAAGAAATTGATGGATGGATTTAGCGTCCTACCTACATACCTACCTGGGGGAGTGGTAGTTTTGGGAGCCATCAGCATACCGGTAGTCACCAAATGCATGGGAGAATGAAATCTCCAAGAGATAGAATAGACAGAAAAGATGGAGACTGAGAGTGGAACCTGGGGTAAACCTGGCTTCCCATGAGGCAGATTTGCTTAGAGTGAGCACACGTATTTGTGGCTGAGAACATAAGTGAATACCTACTGGTTAACCCTTATTCTGAGTTGATTCCTCTGCAGTATTTGAGCCATTGGAGGAAACAGAGACCAAGCCTGCATCCCTGAGAAGATAGGGGCACCTGTGATACTGCACCTCACCTGTTTGTCCATCTAAGAGGTGTTGCTGACTTTAATGGCCCAATTGGCATGGGGTGGCCGTTAGGTGGGTGGCTCTGAGGACAAGGCCAGGACAGGGGCAGGGCAGAGCCAGGGTCTGTCTGTTACTTACACGTTGAGAGGCTGCCAGGCTGGCCACTGAGCTTTGGCTTTGATGACGGTGAGGACCTCATCGCTCTGCAAAAAACAAACCACAGACACTTAGTGAGGAGAGCTGGGCTCATGGGAACAAAAGGGCTTTGACATGGTCACACTGTCTACCGCCCCTCACTTACCTGCTATTGAGGCTTTACCTGACCAGGTGTGGGAGCCATCCAGCCCCAGGGTGGGCAAGCCCTGGAGCTCTGGTAATCCCAGGAGGTGGGGCTGAGTGTCCAGTGTGCCTGGTGCGTCCTGGGCACCAATGGGTCCACTGAGCCACACCTTTGGTTTGCAGCTCAGTCCATCTCTTCCCCCCTGGAGCCAGGCTCTGACCTGGACTCCTCCTTGGATGGCCAGACTCCCATATTGTGTCCAGCCTGGAGGGAAGACTGTGTGCTCTGCCCAGATACTGACTGGGGCCTGGACTGTAGCAGGAGCTGCAATGCAGCCAACAACTGGCCCCAACAATTGCCACACCCAAGGCCTTTCCTGCTGTTGAGACTCAGGCACCGGATTAAACTCCTTGGGTTGAGGAGGCCAGAATAAAGCTGGGGGCCCACACCCCTGTGCCACTCATGCTATTATGCTCCATTTTGCTTTGGACAGTGTGTAGAGCACCTTTAACGTCTAAGGACCTAAAATATTCTTTGAGGAAGAACCTAACGGTTAACATTTTGAAGGCAAGCATTAAGTCATCATGGGGGGTGGGGGGGTAGGGGGAAGGATCTGAACTTTGCTGATCTTGCTAAACTCTGAGATTTGTTTGGGTTTTTATTTTCAATTACACACTGGGAGTGAGAGGGTATCACACTCTTTTCAAGGCTTAATACTTCCATAGTCCAAATTTGGCTCTGGCTGGGGATGTTCCCCAGAGTGGATTCAGCTGGTCTGGATCTCCCTCCCCTTCCTCTGGCCTGGGCTCAGCAGTGTTCAGACACCACTGCCCATTACACACCGAAAAGCCCAGGAGGTCACCAGCTGGGGAAGCAAGAGTTTTGTTGTTGACTGAAGAGGTCCCTGAGCTCCAGGAGGGCAGACACTTGCTTGGTTGGCTCACAGCTCTGCCCCAGTTGTTGTTTTTTAAATATATTTTTATTCAGAGGAAAGAAGAGGCAGAGAGATAGAAACATCAATGATGAGAAGGAATCATTAATTGGCTGCCTTCTGCACACCCCCTACTGGGGATTGAGCCCACAATCTGGGCATGTGCCCTGACTGGGAGTCGAACCATGATCTCCTGGTTCATAGGTTGGCACTCAACCGCTGAGCCACACCAGCTGGGCTGCCCCAGTTCTTAGAGCCATGCCTGGCTGTGGGTGCCTAGAACACATTTGGAATGAGTTGGTGGATTTCTTCTTAGTTTGGTACCTTGCCCAGAAAATCCCACTGCCCTGAGGAAACTGGGAGGAGGTCAGAGGTGTCTCCAGGATCAGGCCCAAAGATTAGAAAAAGCCTTTGATCTGGACGCCTTGCCTGCAGCCCAGGAAGGAGTGGGTGGGTGGTGGGCCCTTGAGAAGAAGGCGATCAGTCAGATCCAGGTTGGCCTGGGCACTACAGGGACAAGCCACAGAGGGCACCCCATCCACTGCCACCCCGGGGAACCTTGCAGCCTCCTCCTGAGCCCAGGCCTCCCTGGGGTTCCCTCTTTTAATCAGAGGAAAGACTCACTGGGTGCACAAACACCCCACATTCACACATCTTCAGGGAGAGCATGTCTAAGTCCTGAGAGGTTTACACTTCTCATGAGAGACATTCTTATTTGTTGAGAATGTCTCCCTGATTCATTCCTAATAAATATCTGTTGAATAACTGAGAGAAGCTGCTTATCATGAAGTCACTTGTGAGACCTAACCTATCTCCCAAATGCCAGCGCTGGGTCTCCCATGACCTGGTTTTCCTATGGTCATCTCATATATTCCGCGTCCCACACTGAACTCTTCATCTGACCCCGGAGCCCTGCTCCTCCTCCAGCCGGTGCCACCTGGGCTAAAGGCACATCCACCCGCTGCCTGAACCAGACACCAGGAGTCGCCATTATTCCTCCGTCACCCACCCCTTCACAGTGGTCAGGCCCCAAGACCCACTGTGTTCAACGCCTGTGAACCCCTCCACAGTCTCCTCACTGGTTACTTAGTCTCCTGTATCTTCTTGCTTTCCCCCAACCCAACCTCCCCCAACCTACCCATTCCTTGCCTAAACCCTTCAGCAGCTCCCCACAACTTCCATGATAATTTTTAAATTCCTGGTATACTTTTTTGATTTTTTTTTCAAATATATATTTTTTGAGTTCAGAGAGGAAGGGAGAGGGAGAGAGAGATAGAAACATCAATGATGAGAGAGAATCATTGATTGGCTGCCTCCTGCATGTCCCCTACTGGGGATCGAGCCCCCAAACCAGGCATGTGCCCCTGGCCGGAATCGAACCCGGGACCTTTCAGTTTGCAGGCCGATGCTCTATCCACTGAGCCAAACCAGCTAGGGCCTTTTTAGATTTTTAATTCCAGAGTAATCCATGCTTGTTGTAGACAAAATTAGCACCACAGAAGCACACAATGTAAATGTTGAGCTTTTTCCACTTTAGCATCTACCCTGCCTTCTGCCTCCTTCTCCAGAATGTTACAGTTTGAGGTGTATCATTCCAGGCCTTCTACTATGCATATGCAACTCTGTGTGTGTGTGTGTGTGTGTGTGTGTGTGTGTGTGTGTGTGTGTGCATATATTAGATACAGCTTTCATACTGAATATCTTATTCTGCACCATGATTTTTATATTTCCCCTTAATATTACATCATGGGAATCTTTCCATGTCAGTAGCTACAGCATCGTAGCTCTCCTTTTGTTGATTTTTAAGACATTGAAGATCTTCAAATTATGGTAAGCTTGGTCAAGACTAATAAAAAAGAAATCCAGGAGACGAGATACTGTCTGATGATGATCATTTTGCCCTCAAAAAAATGCTTTGCTAAAAAGAAAAAAATAAATCAGTGTGCGTGGAGTTACGGTGGCTTTGCATTGCAATTCAATCTTGGTTTTCGAGTCCTAACTAATGACATATTGATTTTGTTTTTTGCAGAATAACTCAACAAAAATTGTTTGGACCCATCATTAGTGTTTATTTATGGTGATGAAATTCTGTCTAGTTTTCAGAGCTATGGAGGCCCGGAGGATGGTGGGTCCGCGCGTGTGGGCATTAGAACAGCTTGCTGCTGGAATTTGTTTCATCTGGTGGTTCCACACCATCTGCAGGATCAACTGCTTATTGTTCCTTGTTTGCGATCATTCGTGTCATCCAATGAAACAGGAACGCACGAGCCTTCTGCAACATTCATTTTAAAAGCGAAATATTTTTGTTGCTGCATCAAAATTCTTCGGCAGAACCTAAGTCCTACGGGATTGGAGAGTGCCTGGCGTGTTCATGGCCATATCTAAATGCGATGGATGGGTGATGAGTAAATTTCTGAAGAAGCAAAGCCATATCATTTACTCTATAGACGTGTAGAATTCCATAGCATGGATGTTCTTGCATGTTTTTTAACCAACACTATTGGCAGATATTTAATTGTTGCCATAAATGATACTATGATGAACATTTGGGCATGTATTTCTGTCTTTGCAAACCCGAGGGTTCCTGTGTCATAGATTCCCAGGAATGATTAAAAGATGAAGCACGTTGAAAATTTTGGCAGAGTCTACCAATTTGTCCTCAAATGCCTGTACTATTTTATACTCCAGCAAGAATGTGTATGTGCCCATGTCGTCACACCCTTGGACACACCGGATACTATCATTCTCATTAGTATTTACTCATCCAGAAGGCAGGCATGTAGTATGGCTGGGAGCCCAAGCTCAGGAGTCGTACCCAAGTTCAAATCCTGGTTTCACCATTTACTAGTTCCATGTCCTTTGGCAAGTCTCTTGACCTCTCAGTTTTCTCACCTGTGAAATGGGGTTAACAAGAGTATCTATGGCACTGGATTGTTAGCGGGATTAAATAACACCATTCAGAAAGTGTGCTAATACAGTGCCTCTATCAGCACAAATATTAGCTGCTGTTCTCATTCTTATTTACATTCTGGCCAAGCTGGTATTAGAATCGATTTGCACTGCCTGAGTACAGAAAGTGGGGTGCGCAGTTGCATCTACAAACCGACAGAGTCCCAGGAGAACCCAGAAACTCAGGGAGCAAATGACGGGACGTTTCCATGACTCGGTGCGCCCTGGATGGGGCCACTGGGGCACTAGGCGTTTTACATTTTAAAGAATGGAGGATTTAACATTCAGAGCAAGCCATCCAAACTTCAGATGTAAATGAAAAGCCATTTTCACAAGTCTCTAAGGCACAGAAAGGATCTTTCAACGATCCTTAGAGCCCTCACACATGTCTCCTAGGACCCCTTTCAAACAAAGTGTTTCAAGGCATTCACAGTTCATGCCTCATTTGCATGACGTTAGCAGTTTTCCAGAGATACGCCCATTAAAATTAAAACACCCCCAAAAAACTACAGGTCGCTCGTGTCCATCTTCACAGGGACGAGTGCTTTCATTTTGCTTTTGATAAACATATTGGGAAGATGTGACAGCCGTACTCAGACTTCTTAGTTACTGGGACCAAGTGGGAATCGCTAGGCCCCCACAAAGGCCAGGGGCTGAGGTCAGATCCAGAGGAAGGAGGGTTCATGTGGAGTGAAGACAGGCTTGGGCCTGGTTGGAGGCAGAAATCACACTGGTATCAGGAGATGCCAAAACTGAGCAGAGCAGACAGCAAGAATGTGAATCTGAGGGGGTCAGGGCCGGGGCTGGTGTTTGAACCAACCTTACCCTACATGGACCCTCCCATACCCTCCCTGCCTTGCTCCTCACCTCCTCCTCTGCAGGCATTTTCCTGGGTCCTGCCCTTCTGCCTTTATCTTCTAGTCCTGAACCACACCTGTTCCTCATCCTAAGGTCCCTTGGCTCCGGGAGGCCCTGAGGGCTCTCCCACCATCGCAGGTCCTGCCCCACACCTGCAGTCTGAGCCACCCAGGAAGAGAAATGGA